TCTCTCTAAAATAAAAAAACATACCCTGGGGTGAGGATTAAAAAAATGGGTAGTGGTTTTACAGGTGTTCATTTCATTGACATTTCTTACAACTTAATATTTTATATATATTATTTTGTATAGATTGAATATAGACAATTTTTAAAAACGGAAATAAAATTCCCAAAGGATTTCACCTTCAAAAGAAATTATCTTAAAGAAGAAAAAAGAAAACTCAAGAGAAAGACTGCCTGTGAGAGCAAATGAGAATAGCTATTTAAGAGAGGAAAACAGAGATTTTGGTTAGTTTGTTTTTAGATTAGGGGATTGTCCATTTGTTACAGTATAACCACAGGTACAGAGAACCTCATTTAGCATAGTGTATACTCAGGTTTTCCAAATGCCAGTCTGTCATTTTATTTTATTATTATTTTTAAATATATCTTTATTGATTTCAGAGAGAGGAAAGGAGAGGGAGAGAGAGATAGAAACATCAATGATGAGAGAGTCACTGATCGGCTGCCTCCTGCACGCCCCTGACTGGGGATCGAGCCTGCAACCCAGGCATGTGCCCTGACCAGGAATCGAACCCTGATCGCCTAGATCCTAGGTCGATGCTCAACCACTGAGCCACGCCCGGCCGGGCCAATCTGTCATTTTAAACGCTAAAATATTTTTATTTTAATCATTTTGAGTAAAAATAATTCCAAACTGCAAACTATATAATAATGCACCTTCTTAAATAGAATATATTCATCAGGGTTGGGTTGGGTTTTTTTAACAGCAATTATTTCAGTACTAAAGAGCTTTTGCTTTCAATATCCCAAGAGATTCTGAAATGATATTTTTAACCTCTTGTATCTGTTTTTTCTACCATGGCTCTTCCAGTCTCTCCCATGTTGTCCATTCCTACTCAACAATATGTTGATGGTTTAGAAATCATGGAGTCAATTGTATATAAAATCAAAACATACTAACTGGCTTGTGGTGGTCAAAAATACATGCTTTGAAATTTGTATTTGATATCTCTTTTGACTCCTGAAGATTTTTAATTCTCAGTTCCCAAATGTAAACAGGTTTCTCCATAGCAGTGTCCAAATAAAATTTCCCAGAATTTTTATTTTTATAAGTATTTCCAACATCATAAAGCCACGTCATATTTCATTGCCTTGGGCATGTGAAACAAAAATTTTCAACTAAAGGTCAACTTACTGGAAAGCATTAAATTTTTTCCACTTTCATTTGGCAGACTACATGGTACTATGCTGATTTTTTTAACTTTCTACCTCAAAGTTTAAAGACCATTTCTTAGACCACTGTTTCATCAATCAGACATAAGACTAAATACATTAATAAAATTCTCTTTAGGGAAGAAGGCAGAATAATGAAATATTTAAGCCTTCTTTTAAAACAAGAATCAGTTTATAATGCTTATAAAAACAATGATAGGCAGGACTACTGGAAAACATATAGATAAGTTTTAGCTCAGGGGTAAGAAATTATTTTATAAGCTCTGAGTTTACACATATTTCTTATGTCCTAACTATGAGAAAAATGCAAGTTTCTTCTAAGCCACTCTTCAACACAAAATACTTCGGCCATTATTTTATCTAAGCCAAATGAAATACAAAAGTTTTAATTTAGTAAACTTATAAAAGTCTACTACTTTTCTTTAACCTTACTGAAATTAATGAAAGAGAAACTCTATGAAGAATACAGAAAGGCAAGAATATTTCTATTTATGAACAAAGCAGGAAAGGAAGGAAGGAAAGAAAAGCAGGAAACCTCTCCAGAGTTCACCCCTTGGTGTACCACAGATGCTAATAAGCAGAGAAGACACACTGCTGCATCTTCTCTGTCTCCAGTCTTTCTTTCTGAGCATTCAACCCTGTCTCTGAAACACGTTTCACTGTAACCATGACCCGACAGACACTCTTACCTTCTCAGTCCTCATCTTAACCATATTCCTGAGGAATGCCATGAGGTAGGGTCACCTAAGCATGTATCACTAGTCTGAATCTTTCTCAAAACACATACAAAGAAATAGATTTACAGTAATTGCTAAGAAAGAAACATATGTATGAGCCATGATATTGTGCATTGTTAGTACAGTATAAACCGAAAAACCGTGACAAAGGGAGAAATAAAATTAATTATGGAAACATTTTAACTAGATAAATGAAGCTGTAGAAAAAAAGGTTAAAGATGAAAATAACATCTTTTAAAAAGGCAACTGAGTAATAAATATTTGAAATATTTGCTATTATTAATTTTAGAAATAAAAAATCTAAAGACACAAGTTTTTATCCATCGAAATTGCAGCCCGGTCAGGCGTGGCTCAGCGGTTGAGCATCGACCTAGGATCCAGGCGATCAGGGTTCGATTCCCGGTCAGGGCACATGCCCGGACTGTGGGCTCAACCCCCAGTCGGGGGCGTGCAGGAGGCAGCCAATCAATGACTCTCTCATCATTGATGTTTCTATCTCTCTCTCTCCCTCTCCTTTCCTCTCTCTGAAATCAATAAAGATACATTAAAAAAAAAAGAAAGAAAAAAAGAAATTGCAAAGATTTGTTTTTAATAACTCCTAATAGAGGCAGGAAGTAAAGTGCAATGAAAGACATTCCTCACTTTGTGTAATTTAAACTAGAACAGCTCTTCTGGAAACTAATTTAGCAATATGCTATCAAGAGTCTAAAATGTTCTTACTCTTTGATGCAATAATTCTACTCATAGGACTTTGTACAAATAAAAATGAGAACAAACACAGAATCATTATTTCAGAATGAATATAATTAAGGGATAAAAATGCATTACTCTGCCTGCCTGGCTCAGTATTGTTAAATAAAAATCAAAGCAAGGAGAAAGGGCCTGGGAAAACCATAGCCACCTCAGCCTGCCAACCAAATAGGCCATACTGGCTCCATTAACCAGCTCTGCCCCTCAAAATTTCCTTCCCACACAACCAAGATATACTGCAGTACAATCCTACCCAAAGGAAAAGAGCACACCGATATATTTAAGAGAGTTTTCAAATGACTGGAAACAAAAATGGTCTTCCCAGGATGGAAAAGAAAATAATCTCTCAGGTTAACTATGAAATACCATTTCCCAAACAATTTATTTCATCAATAAATCCAAATACCTCTGTATATAATTTCACTAAGCAGTAAATTATGCTGTTATAGCACAGAAGTCATCAACCTAGATAAAAATTCGTTAAAGACACATGTATCAACTTTAAGTAGTATGATAAAACTTATTACATTTTCTGAGCAGTTGATATTAAACAAAAAGCTAAACAACTATGTCAAACTACCTGTGCCACTTTAGAAAGAAATTAAGTACGAAAGGTTTCTTCTTAGAAAAGCAGTGTTCCCATACATATACATACAAAAGCAATTTGAATGAGAATGTGAATCAACAGTTTCATATTAGGTTTTAGTCATGGTTGCCAATATTTTTTTACCCCTACATTTAAACATTTAGCATTAATGCCTCAATTTTAAAACAGCAGCAGCAAATCAGGCCTCTTGCTTTATTTCTTGTCCAGAAGAAATGGATTTGTCTAACACTTACCTAAACTTGTGGGCTTGATGAGAACATCAAGAACATCATAAAAGGGCAAGTTTTTTAACTGCACATCAGGATGGACAGGAGGAATTGGGGGAGATGGCTGCTGCATCTCAAACGTGGGCTTAGTGTCTTGAAGCAACACAGAACCAACAGGGGAGGACGGTGAGTGAGGTGTAACTGAAGTGGAAGGCAACGTGTGGATTCCAGCCACAGCCAGGTCAGGTTCTACAGGTGAAGAGCTACCATCCAAACTGAAAACCGATGATTTGATTGTGGATAAATCAGAAAGTCCTTCAAGAGTCCGTGGGTATCGGCGTCTATACAATTCTCGAATTTTAATCTGAACCGCAGGGCTGCAGCCGCTCTTCAATAAATGCAACGCCCTCATCAGGAGGTCATGCTTGCGTCCACTTTTATTCCGTCCAGCAAAGCCTAGTAACACTTGTAGCTCAGAAACCCTAAAACTAGAAACCATATTCTAAAAGGAAAGGAAAAAAAGACATAAGACAATAGTCACCCACAAGCATACAAAAGCCCTATTTTTAAATATACTATAAAATCTTATTTTCCAGCATTCTATCAATTGGCATGTGCTCGTAACCAGTATTTCCACACAGCAGTTAGAATCATTCCTCTTGATGCTGCCCGCCCCACCTCAACCAAATTACATTCAAGTTATGGTGTTAATTATGTTTTGCTGTACTCTTAATTTTGGTAGTATATTAATTTCTATTAGCCACCTCATTATCTGCTTATGCTCAAGTGAAAACTTGCATTTGTTTATGACTATGAAATTTATAACCAATGAAAATGTTCCTTTTTAACACTAAGCCCTACCAATACATAATATTTGTTATAGCATTATCAATCGACCAATTAGATTTTTACAACACTATATGCACTTATGATGCTAAATAGTAAATCTACAAAATCAAGACAGATTTGTGATCCAAAACCCAATGAATTTTTTACTCCAACTCAAATATTAGAGAACAGATAATACAGGAAAATAGTAATATTTTTTAATATTAAAGCTAAAAATCTATACATCTTATATAACAGTCAAACTTCTAAAACAACTGAATTTCCCAACTGAGTATCCAACGAAGAAAAGACCTTTGAAGAGCAAGGAAATGAGTGGTCACAAATCAAAAAGGACAAGATACACTCCAAGTCACTCTCTACTAACTTGTTTTTGGGTGTAAAACGAAGATAACAGGCAGTTCCTGCTTCAGATCTTACCATCTACTTACTCAACAAAACCTAGTATGTACTTTTAGGCACTTGCTGCCTCATAAATCCACCTACCTGGTGATTTTCTATCAATTCTGAACTCAGAAGTAACCAAGTATGGGTCATATTTACTTGTACACATGTGCGCTATCCAGCCAGAAAGAAGAGTAAGACCTAGAGCTGACCAAATACCCTTTCAGAAACCTACCTTTTCAGAAATTGACTCTAAGGAAACTTTCCCCCACCTCTCCTCCTCACTGCTGCACACTCCATAGCTACCTGGGACTCCTCCTCAACCTGGTAGGTATGCAGGGGCAATACCTACTACTGGCACTGATTCATAATACATAATTCCTCTGTTCTGTACTTTTAAGTCTCATTGATAGCCCAGAAGCAACTGTTTAAAACTCTTTTTTGGCTTTTTAGTAGTTGCTGGGAATAAGAACTCTGCTAGTTTTCTGACCTGCAAACACATTTAAATATGTTAAATACAGCTGCATATAAAAGCTGTAGCATAATTCTACTTCATATACTGTATGTCTCCATATCTCATATTGTACATGTAAGAGAATTATTAAGTTGTAATCCTAGCAACCATTTTTTACACTCTTGATCAGTACTATCTGATTGAGGTAGGAACCACATACATAATTCTAAATCTTCTAGTATCCACATTAAAATAAAACAAATTGATTTTTATAATATGCTTTATTTAACCCAATATATCCAAAGTATTACTTCAATATGTAACCAATTTTTGTGATTTAAAAGTAATCAATTTTTTTTTAAGTGTCAATGTGATTTTTTTCCATACTGACTCTTCAATATCCAGTGTGTATTTTACACTTAGAGCACATTTTTTTTTTTAATATATCTTTATTGATTTCAGAGAGAGGAAAGGAGAGGTTGAGAGAGAGATAGAAATACCATCAATGATGAGAGTCATTGATCGGCTGCTTCCTGCACGCCCCGGACTGGGGAGCAAGCCCACAACCCGGGCATGTGCCCTGACCAGGAATCGAACCCTGATCGCCTGGATCCTAGGTCGATGCTCAACCGCTGAGCCACGCCCGGTGGGGCATAGAGCACATCTCAATTTGGACTAACCACATTTCAAGTGCTTAAGAGCCACATGTGGCTAGTAGCTACCACTCTGGACAGTACAGCTCTAAATGACTATCGCATAGTAACATAATCCTATGGTCCTTATACTTTAACTCACTCCACTTCCTCCATGTGTTAAGATGATTTTATTTATTTTACCCCTATGTTATGGACAAAAAAGATAAAAATCAAAAATGGAAAACAAGAAAATTCTTGGCGTATCTCATGAAACACCTGTTACAGTATACTCAAGGTTTTATACATAAAAAGGACTATGACAGCTTTTTGCAGTGTCTTCCCAAGCCAGAAATGCAATGCATCTTCCCCAAAATCCTCAATCCTAGTAAATTCTCCAATTGAAGTTGGCTCACATTACAGTATAAGCAAAATTAAATCAAGAGGCAGTCATGCAGAAACAAGATATCTGTGATTCTTTCTAAAGAAATCAAACTTGCATTCACTACATTGCTTCCCTCCTTCCAGTTTTTTTCAAATATTCTTCATTTTAAGAAAATCTGTTTTACAGAAATGACAGAGAGCACAAAGTCACTCTAAGCTTGCTATCAAAAAGGAATTTCTGGGAGGTCTCCTTTCTCTATTTCCAATGATAACTTTATCTGGCAAAAAATGCTAATGAGAATGGCTCTATTAGATATTGTAAATATACAAACAAAAGGGAAGAAAGAGATAAGGGCTTAGAACTATAAATGTGGAATCCTAAAATTCTAAAAAGAAATCCCCTGGTTTGGGGAAGGGCAAAGGAAACAGCAACAGACAGGACAATCTGCATTGCAAAATGCTACAAAGATAAAGTCCTGCCAGGCACTCCCAAAGATGATAGCTTTGAGAGTCAATGGTATCCTGTGGAAAACTTTACAGCAGCAATCAGTAGTTGTATCTAGATCAAGTCCCAGCAACAAGACTCAGGACCTTGGGAAAGTCACTTTATTCCTCTGGCCCTCAATTTCTATTTAAGAACAAACAACAACAATAAAAATTGTCCCTTATTTAATGTTTACTATTCAGATATTCCCTNAAACAAACAACAACAACAATAAAAATTGTCCCTTATTTAATGTTTACTATTCAGATATTCCCTAAGGAACTTACTAAGTTAAATTCTATGAATGTNGAACAAACAACAACAATAAAAATTGTCCCTTATTTAATGTTTACTATTCAGATATTCCCTAAGGAACTTACTAAGTTAAATTCTATGAATGTTTTCTTAGCAAGCCCATTTCTTCCTAAAGTGATGCTTATTTTAATTTTTTTACTCAGTCTTCAACCAAGTTTTAGCTGTCACCAAGTAAGGTAAGCCTGCTAGGAATACTAGCAAGAATGACTTTCATCTCTTGTTCTTCATTAACCTCTGATGTCTACATCTTTAGTATAAAATTTTTAAGTGGACTTTATCCAGTCCATCCTGCTGCTTCCTAAAATCTGACCTCTAATACTTCACTAACAATTACTACATGCTCTACACAAAGGACTATCTCAATAATGCATGTCAATTGACTTTAAGGAAATTCTATGAACTACAAATATGTTGGTATCTGATTTTTTTAAAAGATACACAATCTGGATTTCTAAAACAAAGCTAATATACATTAAGACCAAGACTTTAAATCAGCCTTATTTCTTTATCAAATTTAAATAACACAAAATTATAAAAAAATTTAAAGCTGGGACATTATATAATTGGAACATTATATATAAAGGAGTGAAGGAAAGCTGAAGGTGCTACATTTAGAAAACTCATCAAATAAGTATGATAGTTACATGTGATGACCAATAGGTAAAAATATTTCTCTGAGGCTGCCCTTCATCTCTTAAACATGAGATGGAAATGATCAATAAATAGCCCAGAATTTGGGGAAGCTCTAGTAGGTAGGAAATAATGACAAAGATCAACACAAACTCTGTACATTCTCCATCTACTGTCATGCATAATATGGAGTGGGGAGAGAAGCTACTGAAGGGAATTGGTAAGTCACATTATTAATATTGCCTACCCAACTGCAACATTAAAACTATCTACATCTTCATTTATAAGTAGGAATGGATAAAGAAAAACCACCAGATATATAATAAAATTAAAAAATAACCAACCTGATACCATATGAGAAACTATGCAAAATTTAGAAAGATACTCCAATACCTAATCACTACCCATTTCAGAGGTCATGGCAGGCCCAAGTTCCTGGCCCTGCAGTACTGTAAAATCACTTATTCCCTATACCTAAATCCTTTTACTTGAGACCTTACGTGGATCTCTTTCATGTAGGACATTGATTAAAATAACTCCTCAGAGAAAGAAATCAAAGTTGAAAGTCAACTATTAAAAGAAACAATAAAGCATATTACATTTCAAAATCTATAAAATAAGCCAAAGCCTGGGAGAACATCTCCCTAAATGTTTCTATTATTATACAAGATTTAAAACAAATTTAGTATGTTCAAAAAGCAAAAAGGTAAGGTGGTCCCTCAGCATCTGCAGGGGACTGATTCCAGGGCACCCCCCCATCCCTACCCCTACACCTCCCCAGAATATACCAAAAGCCACAGATGCTCAAGTCCCACAGTCAACCCTCCTTATCTGCAGATGTGGAACCTGTGGATACAGAAGGCTGACTGTAACATCAAAATAAACACACACCCTCAAAAAGAGTGAAGAATTGCCTGGCCAGGCATGGCTCAGCAGCTGAGCATCGACCTAGGATCCAGGAGATCGCAGTTCGATTCTTGGTCAGGGCATGTGCCTGGGTTGTGGGCTGGATCTCCAGTCAGAGGAGGCAGCCAATCAATGATGACTCTCTCATCATTGATGTTTCTATCTCTCTTTCTCCCTTCCTCTCTGAAATCAATTTTTAAAAAAATTTTTTTAAAAGAATTAGTATAAAAAGAGGAATTAAAAATAATAGCAAGAACAAGTTTCAGAGAGAGAAACTAAAAAAGCAATACCATTTACCACTGCAACTAAAAAAATAAGATACCTAGGAATTAACTTAACCAAGGATGTAAAAGACCTGTACTCGGAAAACTACGTGACACTAAAAAAAGAAATACAGAAAGATTTAAACAAGTGGAAGAATATATCATGCTCATGGAAGGGAAGAATTAATATCATTAAAATGTCCATACTACCCGAAGCAATTT